GCTTTTTGGTCTACGGAGGGATTCACGTCGATACCTGCCAAGTAATCTTCTTGTAGTGGTGATCATAGTCAATTGCGACTCGACGCCAACTACACATCCTTGTTCTGTAGTTAATGTACGAGAATAGTCTTTAAAGTTGCTTGAGTGCAGATTGTGCCAACTGAATTTCATATTTTCTTTGAGCTTGCCGAATTTCAATTATACACGTGTTTGTTGCCGATCCGTAGCGTTCCATCGTGCCCGCTACGCCATGGCTGATAAAAACATTCCATCATTTCTTCTTTTGTCCTAATAAACGTCAAATATCTCGGCCTATACATGGATGGCCATGCCTCTTCTTCTTTGGAACTGTCCAGGGTATGTATGGTTGAGCTATCCCATTGTATAACCGGCTGAAATGAGTCCATGCCTCTTATACTGATATCCTTGAGTCAATTTCACAGATTTCAGCCGATACTACAGAGTTAGTTGCTTCCATATCTGCCTTCCATAATATTAGGACTGGCCGGCGCAAATGTTTGACAGGCGATCTCAGACAGGAATTTGAATACTATAACTGCATGGTCAGTTCTACCTAGTTGTGGGAGGAAAGTCATTTGACCAACGTGATCGTCATGTGTGAAGAACAAATCTAAAAGAGAAGAGGATTTTCCTGAGTCAAATCTCGTGGGATTTCTAACGTGTCGGAATAAAGTTAATCCAATCGTTTTCTAACAGTCTGCAATCGAATGACATTATCGATCACTCTACTTCTAAGTTATTCTAGTTTACATGCGGTGCATTAAAGTTACCTACTACGAGGCTTTTACCTTTATTACACTAGGACTTAATTTTGCTTGTGAGGAAATCGTCTACTACACATTCTGGGATGCAATATACCACAACTAATTCAATAACTCACCGCCTACATTTCAGTTTGCAACGCACCAGTTCACATGTCCCTGGAACATGTGCTAATGTCTTAACTACTCGTATGGTCAGGGTACTTTTCGTGTACAGAATAACCCCACTACCCTATGGTTTAATATATCAGTTCTATTGAATAAAAATCCATTCAACTGAATCTCATTATCAAACACGTGACGGTAACCAAGTTTCTGAGAAATCAAAAACATCCAGTTTTTCTTTATCCACCATTGTCTTGAGCTCCGCCATTTTATTTATTAGGCTGCGGGAATTTGTGTATCATACCTCCAATTCTGTAAAGAATTTTGCCTTAGTACCCAGAGTGGTTTGGAAATGGTTTGACTCCGAGCCTTTACAATTTGAAAGCCCTTATGAACGAGGTTTCTTTCACCGTTTCGGCGGTGCTCGTTTATTTCCACTTCTGCGGCTCGTCTCTTAATACGATCAGCTAGACTTGGACCATCATGGACGTATGTTCCAGATCCAATCAGTTTACGTGAGTTACCTAAAATCGGTTTCCTTTCTTCAACCGTGGCGAATGTAACCTTTGAGAGCCTGCCTTTCTGAGGACTTTCAGAATCCAACTTTTGTCCTATCCTACTAGGCTTACGGATGATAACTGTTTCCGTTAGTAGCTTGATTGTTAAGCACTTAATATGACAGAGGTTGTGCTCAAATCTAGCCTTTGGTTCCTTATCAGAAAGTTTTCTTACTTTATAAAAAATGACTGACCTCTCAGCGAGGTCTGTCTTGACACGCTGTGGAATTTTAGTTCCCGAAACCGTCTCTTTTTTGCACTTTTATTTCAATTCAGCAACAAGCACAGAGACTACATTATGTTTCCTTACTTTTATTTCGCTGGTTGTGACTGTGAGCCACTCATTTACCTTATTTCGTCTCTCGGTCACTCTACACTGCTCAGGCTTGGCTCTCCTGTAGTTTGTGTTACATTGATATGTGAATCCAGAACTATACCCACAGATTCACATGCCTCAGTACGGTCTGTATGTAGTTTCTTCTTTTCAGCACGCTTCTTCTTTCATCCCATAACAACGCCTCCACCAACATGCTTATCTGTTTCCCTGATGAGGTTCACCTTTATTGTTTTGTTTAAGTCCACAGCTGGGCTCATAATACCGCTCTCAAATTTCTCGGAAGCAGAGTTCTGATCATCTGCTGCTGCCCGTATATGAGAGGGCAACTTCCTAAATATGTTTAGCAGCTCGATCGCCTCTAGAATCAGTGAGGTTTCTTTACACCACCGACGTGATAATGGCTTGCAGCACCGTTTATATGCAGCCGGTGTGAGTCCGGTGCACACATCATGTATCTGTACTCGTAAAGTACAGATATCGTACTTTCTCACAAGTATTTGAAGTTTCAAAACACCTAAGCCAGTAACACATTTTACAATAAAACATGCCAACACTGTGAAATCAGAATTCTGAAGTGGAGAGGTTTGAAAATATATTTCATAGAATATCGATATATCAAGAACTAACTAATCTAACCTGGTTGGTGGTTGTAGAAGTGCAGCACGACGTACTCACTTGTGATCTGGTGCGGATGCATGACCGAGCGCCCTCAACTAGGTGAGTCCATTAAAACTAATATGGCCAGCATCAAATGTCGAAGATCAACAGAGATAACTATTTTGCAGGTCTATTTACCGCTATGGTACCAAATGGATTCTTATTTTTCACAGCTTGGAGAGATAAACATACTCCAATGCCCTTTCCTACGTCTAAGAGGTTTCTCCACCTCTTCAAATATCCATGGTGGATAGTTATTAGGTTTACGTGGTTGTAAGTACAGTATAAATGGGGACGTAATTATGCTAAGTGTACTTTGAATATTAACCCTGCTTATTCAATGGGTGAGCCAGCATTTACTGACTAATCTGTTGTTACAGACCACTTTTGAGTGGTGATATGTTTGCTCACCATATATTCAAGCGAGTTTTAGTCTGATCGAATATTGTGCCACAAGCTCTATAGATGAATGTCAAAACAGCATGGTCGCAAATCGCTAACGGTTTGAAGACATTTACGGTGTAAATATCGTAAGTCTTACCAAAAAAGAGTGAAAACACACGTCTTATTGATAATTCAGGCCGACTTCATGAGAAAACATGGGCTGGCACATCATCAAAGACACCGATTTCCTACCTATGTATTGAGAATTCGTTTGCAATTATCTGTTATCTCTCCACTTGAGCACAGTGAGGGTTAGTAGCCTACAAACGAACAGAATTCCGCCTGTTTTATGTGTTTAAATTCACCATATGTTTTCCGTAAATCATATCAAATCAAGGAAAGGTTTCCAGCACCAGGGATCCTAACCGTCCACGTAAATAAACCGAAATATTTCGGGAGCTGGAAGCTTGACCAAGAGTGCCACTATTGGTCAGTGGCATAACATGCCTCTTTGAGGATGGGTTGAATTATAATGTTGATTTAACTAATGCTAATACCTATAAATACCCATGATCTTCTGTACATTTTCATTCTTTTTCAGCAAGCAGTTTTCTCCAATCTTCTGTCTTCTTATTTGCGACTAGGAGGATTCTAGCGTTCGAGTGCTCAAGTCACACACGGTATAATAAGAATCTAATGAGTATCCCACAAATATTTCAGCTTCACAACATTTTACTAGTAACATCTATAATTGAATCGCACCCGCCCAGTGAAATCAAAAGTCAGAAGTGAGGAGGTTGGAAAATATATTTCACAGATCATTAATATATCGGGAAGTGACTGACCTAAACAGACTAGTGATTGCAGGAGAAGTTGAGCACGCCGTTCCAACTCGTGATCTAGTGCAGATACATGACCGAGAACCTTCAACTAGGTGAGTCCATTAAAACTAATGTTGTCAGCATCCAATGTTGAACACTTACAGAGTTCTACATATAACAAAAGTCGCTTTACATTTTCCTGCCAAAGTAAATACACAGCCCCTGGAATTGCATGTCATTGTATTTACTGATATTAAGTTATTTTTAGGATCTAATACGGTCTTCAACGGAGCTGGAATAACGGCAGCTTTGTAGGGGATAATTATTGAAAAACAAATGGTTCAAATGGTTGAGGACGGAATAGAAGAAGCTTTCGCTTAACGGGCTTCCGTGTCTGGTAGCAGTGGATCACCAATACCTCCAGGCTAAAACCTAGGTATATGAACGATAATAGAGGGAAAAAAAGAATTTGGTAAATCATAATAATATATTATCCTTAGTCCTTAAGAATAAGTCAAGTTTTCTCTTAAAGGTCTCCTGGGAGGTCGCTTGGACTAGCTCAGTCGGCAGCGAATTCCAGCACTTGACAACTCTAACGGAGTAGAAGTTGTGTCTGCAGTCTGTTCTGCTATGTAGGGTCTCCAATTTCTGGGTGTTACCTCTGAGGTTAGTGTTATGACTAAGCTTAAGAAGTTGTTTAAGGGGATGACCAGAAGTATTAAGGATACTATAAGTCATAAGAAGGTCACCTCTAAGACGCCTGTACTCTAACGGGTAAAGGTTAAGTGATTTGAGGCGCTCTTCATAAGGTTTGAATTTGAGACCCCGAACTGATTTCGTGGCTCGACGTTGTATACGTTCCAGAGTGTCCTTACCCTTTTGGAGGGAGGGAGGAAATACTATGTTTCCGTACTCTAAGTGGGGACGAATAAAACTGTTGAAGATTATATGGAAGGTTCTACCGTCAAACTGGCCAAAAATGCGCTTCAATGTTACCAGTGCAAGGTTTGCTTGAGAGGCGTTTTTGTCACAGTTCGCATACGATTTCAGGTCGTAGGGTACCAACACTCCTAAATCTTTTTCAACTTGGGAAGCTTCTAGAGGGGAGTTACCTAAGTTATAACTATAGTCTGCAACATGTCTCAGATGGACTACCTTGCACTTTGAACTGTTGAAGGTAAGCCCAAATGCAATATTCCAACTATAAAAATAAAATAATGCACTTGACATATTTTTATACGACATTTTCTGCGTTTTCAGACGTCAATAGGCTATTTATTCATGCAAACACCACAAACTCATCCAAGATAACAGACGCTCAACCAGATACGGAATGTGGCCTTGAACAAAGCAACTCAAGACCGTGGGGGCAAATTTGAGCTGGACCTAACGCCTCCGTAAAAGGTTAGTCTTCAGTAATAAGGATAGTAGGTTGATAAACCTGTGTTAATCCTGACAGATTTCCTTCCAGTGAAGATCCAGCTTCTTTTTGAAAATGTTCACTGATGGTGCTGATACCACTTGTTCTGGTAAAGCGTTCCAATCATTGACCACTCGATGAGAAAAACGGGACCCCACCTTTAGTTTATTAGATCGTGGTTTCAGAACCTTCTTGCTATGACCCCGGAGATTATTAGTGCTGGAGGGAGCAAAAAGATAAGGCATATTAACACCCAAATCATAATTAAAGATACGAAATGCCAGTATAAGGTCACCTCGCGTCCTACGATAAGATAAGGCGAAAAGATTTAGACGTTTTAAGCGCTCATCGTAAGGGAGTTTAGAAAGACCCTTTACTAATTTTGTCCCTACACGCTGGACACGCTCAAGCGATTTAGTATCCTTTATCAGACAAGGGCTAGCTGCTTGGATACAGTACTCTAAGTGTGGCCTTACACAGGTGGGATATAAAATTCGAAACATCTCCTCGTCAAAGCATTTAAATGCTCTGCGAAGCGACCATAGCGCGATAGCCTTTGGAAGCAACCGCATTGCAGTGCGTAGTAGTTTTTAAGTCGTGACTTATAATTACTCCTAAGTCTTTATGCGCATGAACGCGTGGCAGAGATGTACCATTAATGGTATAGTGGTAACTAATATCGTGCCCGATGTGCATGAACACGCTCTTCCTGGAATTAACTTCCAGGCCCCAATCATGAGCCCACCTAACTAGTTCGTCTAAATCTGCTTGCAGATAACAACGATCAGTCTCATTTCTTATTGTTCTCCAGATTTTAACATCATCCGCAAACAATAACGTCGACGACTTAAGTAATAGAGGTAGTTCATTAATATACAGAAGGAAAAGTAGAGGGCCTAAGATGGTGCCTTGGGGTACACCACTTTTGACCGGTTTCCATTCGGATAGCGTTCCATTGACCCTTACTCTCTGTCTGCGGTCACATAAGAAGCTTTCTATCCATTCCTATATAGCACCTGTTATTCCAAAGCTCGAGAGCTTTTGCATAAGACCTAAGTGTGAAACCTTATTAAACGCTTTGTTAAAATCTATGAATATCACGTCGACAGACTGGTCGCAAGCACATTATATTCTCCTTGAAAGTACTGAAGTCCTTGAACTTTCCACGTTTTAAAGTGTTAATCAAGAAACTTGATATGTTATTTATGTATCAAAATAATATTTTATGTTTATTTACCAGGACTTCTATATCTGCTTGTTTTTGTATGCATTGTTCCGAAATTGACTTTATTTACTTCAGTTGAAGTCATCCACAACCGCCCGATTTTTTATGAAGATGCTAATGATTTTTCCAAATTCACTGGAAGTTCTAGGAGTAAGCCTCAAAACCAGTGTAGGGCCAATCGGTTGTCCATTAGCATTGTAGTACTATTTGACAACCATTAAAATGTGAATTTCGAGACGCATGAGCGAAACGTTTCAATATTCCCTTTTAACGGGCAGAAATTTGATTCACAGATTTAATGTCATCTGAGTTCACATCAAATTTTCTTGAAAAATGACACTTTTATTCCCCTGAAGTTTACATTTATTACGTCTTTCTTTGTCTGAACAGACACAAGCTCGTTAATTGAGAGCCTTTCCTATTCAGTTCACAAATATTTGGTTGCCATGATTATTGTGACTGTTTTACTCCATAGTCTCACCATGGTTATTTGCCAAAAATAAGCCTTCGGCATTCGCATCCTAGTACATATTTATTGACTTAGCTTTGATTCATACCTAGCATCAGGGATAGTTTAATCAACTGTTTGATCAAAGTAAAATGGATGAATCAGGGTTCAAACCCTCAGTCAATGACCAGTGGTTTTCTGTCTGACGGGTTACGTATGGTGGTTGTTCGAAATATCCACACTTCAGTAGTGTCCCTTAATATATGACTAACTACAGTCATGGTATATCCTTATACGAACAGAAAACTAACAAGTAATGGGAGCAATTCAATTTAGTGATAAATTTCTTGTTTTAATGTCTGTCAAGTGTTGGGCTCCACCTTCCACTTGTGGCACATAATCTTACCCACATGAAACAGAAATAAGTTCCGAACCTCAGAGGCGTTGTGTGCCCAAGAAACCCTCCCATGGGAGATTGTCGTTTATTATCAACTTACATAGTATTACTCTACTTATAGATACTGTTATTTGCATGTTAATCTGTAATTTGTGGGGTTCCATAACAGTTTCTCTTTGTTGAAGGGAAATGTTAAGTACCGGTTTATCGTACTATGTTGAAAAGTGTGAAAGCAATCTGATGTAATTTATTTACATGTTTATTTGCTTAGCTATGAGCTACAACATCCGTGGCATTCTCTCTAATGCTATATTTCAGTTTTCAAGTGTTTGCTTAGTTTCCAAAATTCTGTGATAATCATACATTCCTGATAAGTTTTTCCAGTAATGATTCTGTTGGGATCCTCAACATAGTTGAAGTTAATAGGTTTTTTTATGACAGCATAATCATAGGTTTAACATTTATGTTGGATAAGTGTTTCGAACTTTTCACTAGTTTAGTAGATAGTATATATTTCTATCTCGTGAAAATTGACTCATATGGGATGAGTTATGGTAAGTAGATTGATTTCTTGTGAAAAACTGCGAAGTTACATTTCTTGTTATGTGCGTTTAACTATTGGTGCGTTACAAAGTAGTTACCTATAGTGGTTAATCTGTAAGGTCATTCACTGAAAGTAGATTACATCCGAAATAAAAGTACTTGTTTTGATTTTAGGATGAATGTATTGCAGTTGGTTAAACAAATGGATACTCTTTCACCGAGAATCCAAGCCTTGTTAAAAGAAAGTAATTGTCTCAGGTGTAAGGAAGGCACAAATAATGAATCTCCATTTTCCCGAGATTCCTTAAAGGCTAGATTGAGTGATCTGGAATTCCGTGTAACACAGAACAAAGAAACGGAAAAGTATGTTTTATTAAGTTATCTTATTGTTTTAGGCCTTTTTCAGGGAAATACGTTAATGAGAAATCACCTGGAATATATAAATGTGTTGTCTGTAGCTCAAAACTGTTTAGCAGTGAAGCGAAATTCTTCTGTAGCTGTGGCTGGCCTGCATTTAACAGTCCTATAGAGTGTAACTCCTTAATCTTATCCATTGATTTGTCATCAGGTATGTCCTGGATAATTCATCTCATTATTGTTTGCCGAGATAACTTATGTACTAGGCCAACCAAAATTGAGATACTACGCCCCCAAATTTCCTGATACGACCGAGGGTGAGAAGATTCCGGTCTCCGTCCCGAAACGCTCTTACATGGCCACGCGTATACAGCCACTGCCAGGGAAGTCCTACTCACTACCTTCTCGCGGCATTACTGTTGCTTACGAAATTGAGAGGACGAAAAGCAAATGTCCGACACTTTAACCGGGTTGATGGATGCGGAGGACCCACCCGATGGGAGTTGAAAGACCCTAACTCCAAACCAGGGATTCACAAGAGCTCCAGGATCCTGGGAGAACAAATGGTGTGTGAACCTATTTTTGGTCATCGGCTACCATGGAACTGCATCTTCTAACGTTGCTCCACTGCGTTGTGGATTAGACCTGTAGGTCAATGGCTTTGGAAGTGATCCCCTGAGAAAACCACTTGTTTCGATTTGGGGTCCCGAGTAGTATTCCAGCACTCACACAAATTGAATGATTCGTGTGGAGCATACATATTTTGAGCCTCCTTGTACGAATGTCTACGTGTTTAAATAAATAAATAATAAAACGTGAAAGAGAAAACTCTTCACCTCTAAGAATTTTGCCTGTTAATTACCTATAAATGTCTTTCATGTTTAAGTTATTTTAAACACGGGAAATCGAATATCATCAGTACTCAAAGCATCCCTAAAAATATTGTCGACAATGATTAGTAATTGAGCAAAATGTTGAAATGCTAAAGGAAAAGTCCGAAAGCAATTATGTATTTCTAATAACACCGAATTACAAATTTTCGAAGTTTGTGCTTAAACAAGTTTCCGAATTTTTACTGATTCTATTCTTAACAGACATACTAGGTTTAATAAAGCGTAAAAAAAACTGTTCTCAGTTTATATAGTAACAATTATCCTAAACAAATGACACGGTTTGTTATCATCACTGGCTCACTACTTTTTCATCTGTAATCCAGTGATCGATTAACTGGACACTCAACTGCCTTGTTACGAACCCGCATTCATGTAACGTAGTTTGGTGTAAGTTTGGCATCCCAAGTACTTGCATAAATTGATCTAACGTTTAGCTACTTTGATGGATCATATTCAGTTCCGATTATACTGTTTCAAAATTTAATAAGTATGATAAGTTTCTCGTTTACTCTACTGTCCTTAGAATGTTGGTGAAAATCCATTCCGTTGCTTTTATGAAAGCATATTATTCCGTACTATATGAAGGGACAACTATTTGATGGGCAAACTAGAATTAGTGTTCATAAAGTGTATTTCTATATTAAATTAGTTAACCTAATTACACAACTTGTGCAAGCCTGGTGTATTCTTTTCAAATATATGATTTAAATACCAACCATTAAATACAGTATTATCACAATCTGGTATGCGCAAATTTTCGAATATTTTACTAGTCAGCTTCTTCTTTTCTTCGTCCTCTAAATCCTGTTTCTCGTAAATTCACTAAACTTTACGTGGATGAATAAGACTAATATTGTGTAGAGCAACAAGATGGCTTCGTATTACAAAATTAGTGTTTCGAAATTCTGTAACTGACATTTTATTTTATAATTATACGTTTTTATGTATACAAATGACGTAAGTTTTAAGCTGTTAACTTGAGTAATTAGTAACCCTTTTGACACATGTAGAAAAGAATTGTGTATTTTTACGCCATAAGTTTCTCGATTTGTTCGGTATTCCTAATATTCAACAATTCATCACTTTTAATGTATCCAAGACATTTCGGTTTTCGATTTATTTTTTAGGTGAAGTCCGTGTAGAAGTTTCTTGCAAGGGATGCAATGCTCATTTAGGACACGTGTTTGACGATGGCCCTAAACCTACAGGTCTCCGTTATTGCATTAATTCATGTGCTCTAATTCTTGATTCTGACATTAGTAGTTCATCGGATTTAAATTTGCCAACTGCTTGATATTTTGTTAGTCAAATATAATGATGTCAATTTTACGTAAGCTAGAATTATCCTAGCGTTGCATTTCTAATCTCATGCTTTTTCCCAAAGTCTTATGATGAAACTTTGTGATGCTTTCTCACTTTCGTTTTACTTTTCTAATTTGTATTTCTTGTTTTTATTTGAATTTATAAAAGTCGTTTTCTAATTTTTAAATTAATTGCTTGTCTTTTAGTCTGCAATTCAAGTTACACTGGGTGTTTGCAAAGGGCATTCTTTTCCCAATGGAATAAACATTTTTATTTCATTGGTAGTTAGAATCCTCTATATTCACCGTTCCTTGTATTGTATGTATGATAAGATTCACCTTGTGCTTAATACATGTACACAGGTTACTTATACCCATTAAATGCAACCAGTCTTAAGTACCAACCATTTATCGCTGTTTTTCATACCAATACCTGTTCACAAACACAAATCCGTCCGTACAATATAAACAAGCATTTTTAAAATTGTTTTTGGGAGTGACACCTAAAAATCAAGACTGAACCAAATAAATTAGTCTCAAATGGGTTGTAAGTTTTAAATCCCTTATTCTAAAATATAAAACATTACTGATCTACTGATAGTGCATTAGCTGTTTATCCACACTTAACATTTCTCTTCTTCCCGTTCAAAAATAAGCACAACACTAAGTTCCGTGAAATCGTTACCATCTCATTTATCACGTCGAGGTAGGTGATTATGAAAGTTTCTTGTATAGAAAATATATATGAGACTGACCATTTCAAATACAATTACTTCTTGCAACTTTGATCGATTCTACGCAGTATACTTTTTCGTGTGTGGTTATTATCTTAAATATTCCGGGATGCTGATGTTGGTTTGTTCTCTGAGCTGGACCAACATCAAAATCACCCACCTGAGCTAAAAATCTTCCCCACCATTTCGGGATGCTGCTTGGTATTTGTACTTACATTTTTTGATACCAAAAACCTTGTTTAATAATTTTTGTGTCATTTATATCATGTTTGTTTTCCGTAGAGTATTGTTTGTATGCTTATCTCCTAGAGTGTAAGACAAAATTGTCATACCTGTATACGTTTCTACGATTCCTAACCTTGTACTTCTAAATGTCTGAAATAACTTCCTCTCTTGACAATTTGTGTCGTAAACATTTTAATTACTGGTCTAATGACAAGTGATTAAAGTCATTACCGAGTTTGTATCTTTCTGACTACTTTTTTACGTATCGTTCAAGCCATTACATAATGAATTGTACTGAATGTTCCCAGGAAATATGGACATGATTGGTAAATTTAGTATTTGTCCAAGTTAGTTCACACTGTATTTGGCAATTAGTAAACTTCATTTTAACCTCAGGATTACTGCGTACTTTTTTCAATCAGTCCATAGTCTCTTTCCTGACAGATCGTTATTGAGTTTCGTCTCCAAGATATTACACAGTTTTGTTTAATCCCCGTACCGTTTTCACATGGTTTTAAGTCATCTACTTAATGAGGATTCAGTAGTAGTTAAATTCTTTTAGTTCCACTAGTTCAGATGACCGGTACTGTTATATCTGTGGCCGAGTGGATTATTAGTTGATGGGTGAGGGGATGAGACCGTCAATTAGAGAGCAGCGAATTATCGACTGGAGCAGTGACTCGAAACCCGAACGAGCAGACTAGAGTGCTAACCGATCCTGCGATCTGCCTAACCCAGCCAGTTGAGTCCAGAACACAAATAACAGCCTCGGTAATATGAATCATTATTCACAAGCATACTGGGTTTATATACTAACCAAACAGACCAAATTATACCAAAAAATAATATTTGTACAATAATTGGCCAATGTGGCTGTGGATAGGGGGAAAGTAATCAATAATAATAGTTCAAAGGTCAAAATAAGGTTATGGTAAGAGGAACACGAATACAATTAGGTCAGTTATTTAACAGCTATACAATAGGAATTAGGCATATTACCTTTGTCCATAATAGACCTCAGATTTACCATTCATGATTCACCAGGGGATATAACAGGTACTAAATCTCCTTTATTGCCACAAGTATATATTAAGAACTCATCATAAGATCAGCCTGTAATATGTTACCATTTTGTAAAACTGAATATTATAGTCCTTTGAACTCATATTTACAAAAACATTTTAGCCTGTATTGAGTACAGTGTGTATAAACTGAATCCTTCTTTATAAACTTGGTTTCAACTTTGGTAATTAGATTAGTTTGTTAATAGGAGATTCTTTGTTCATTACTCTTGTGATTGAGACATTTTTTGTTGAAACATTTTTAAGTATTTAACAGAATGATGTATGATTATACGCTGATGCATGAGTTGATTCACGTGAAACGTTATACTCACGTGATGCTATTCAGGTGTATTAATCTTACTAACCGCTGGAATTTGTAGTCATCATTAATTTAATTTTTAGTTATTCATTTTCATACCTAACTAGAACTATCCCCGAGAACAATATAAGTGATATTCGGGTCGGAGAAAACTGCTTGAAAAGTCAAACTACTTGTGAGTAGTTTAACGGGTTATCTTGCTTTCTTAACTCAATCAATAATAAGCAATAACTGCTCTAATATTCTGCTCGATACGATAATTAAAAGTAGCCGAGTTTGGTTTGGTAGTTATTAATTCCCAAAACAGTGAAATTTTTACACTAGTATTTACGAAGGAACCAGTATTTAAGTTAGAGGATTCATCGAGCACACACGAAGGTATCGTATTTTGAGTCCGAATCAGGGGCATAATAATGTACGGCGGAACTCCTAATTAGCACAATTATAAAATCTAGGTAAAGCGCTTCCTTCAAATCATCTCTAAACAATGTAGTATTAAATAGGATGAATAATAGTGTTTTATTAGTGAGACATACGAGTAAAGTAGTGTTCAGTCCACTTATTTCTTAGCGATATTCTTATCTATCATTATTGGGTAGAGAAGAAAAGCAATAAAATTACTTATAGATGACATAGTGTCTTCATGAAAGCTTCATTGTATGAAATGATAACGAAGTCCTCTAAGAAAACCACCTGCTTCAGTTTGGGCAGTATCACAGCCCTCACACAAATCGAATGAGACTTATGCGGTGCATATATATTTGGTGCCCTCTTGTACCAATATTTATGTGTTTGAATAAATAAAAAGATCGGCTCAGGATTCCAATGAAATCCAACACCCTCCCATGCTTAATAATATATTTATATTCTTTGTACGAGAGATATGCTCTAATAGTTCTGCGGTTGACGAATTATTCATTTAATCAATTTCTCGTTTTTCACTTTGAGCAATGCTCTGTAACTTTGGTTATCTACTGTTTTGTGTGACATATCATTTGTATCTTTCTACTTGCTAGACATATGTTCATACAAACACTGTTCTTAAAATCATGATGCTTGAATATTTTTAACGAATTCAGACACTAGTAACACTGACTCATTGCCCTTATTACCATGCAAAATAGTTACATAGTCTGTGTGACCTTCGCTTTAACACAAACCACAATTCAAAATCAAAGTAACTTGGTGTCTGTATGATTATTTTGAACCTTCAATCTTGTAAAATTTTACATAGGATGGTTAAGTTAGAAAAAGTGGGAACATGTGTATCAGCCATAATATTTCCAGTAACTCATAAAACAGTATTTTAAATACCTCCTGGAAAAAGATAGGAAGTTGTGATTTACCGACGGGGAAAATGTACCAGGATCGCGTTGCAAGGACTTTAGTTTTAATTATATAGGTTCCCTGTTTCGTTAAGTGTACCGATTTATTCAATTTTGGTAGCCTTTAAAATATTCTTGTTTGTTTCTTGGATGCCTTGTGCTTATTTCACGTTGGTATCACTTGAGTTCTATATCACCGAATATATTTAGCTCTTCGATACTTCTAGTGTTTATCAACATGATCTATATATATGAATACTATTGATCACCAATACGAGCAGGAGAAAAACTTCACCAATGGATCATACAAGTTACCACGAATAGCTAACATTAGGACACTTAACTTAAATTCTAGTATTATTTAATAGATCTCAGTTGTCTCATCGTTTGTAAAAACCTACAAACCTGAAATAAAATCAAAGTTTCTAAAATATTTTCATAAAAATAAAAGAAAAAAGTAATTATGATTTATGTGACCCAATAAAGTATAATTTGGCCGTAGATATAAGATCAGCAGTCTTAGTTTTGTAACAAGTCAATATTCTCGTGTTAGTTAAAGAGTATACAAAAGGAATGGTGTTGTAGTTTTACAGTTTACTTGTCTCAACTCCTTTTTTATATGGTCAAAGTAATCGCCACTTTAACATAAAATATTACTAAGGTTTCCTCTGAATAATTATTAATAAAAACCGTTTATTCAAGCAAGCAAGCTTAACAGAATAATGTAAAAACCTGTGACAGTTAAGGAACTCAATGAGTTTCTGCATTATTCTGTCAAGCTTGTTGTAACAAATAACTGTCTTCTTCAAAAATACCATGAGTTACTTTCGTTATTTGAGAAAGCCCTGTAGTTAAATATCAATCGTAGTCTAACATCAAAGAAAGCAGATAATATATACTCTTAGACAAAATAAATTATTGCATAATGATAGACCTATAATATGGAAAGAAATGATTTCCATTTAGTGATCCATGAATTACGATTGATTTACAACTTTCACTTTAATCAAGAATGTTAGATTATACGAGAATAAATGTAATGACCAAGTTATATTTTTTTATTACAAATCAGCGGCATTCAATCATGGTATCATTACAATTTCTTAATCTGTACGAAAAACTGTGCACGATTCGGGAGTTTTCTGTTCTTATCGAAACACATAGTCAATATTTAGTTTCGTCTAATTTGTAAACAAATAAAATCAAATATAAATAAATTGTCTTGTATTAAACAAAAAGAAATATGATTGTATGACTTATTATTCAACGCAAAATGTACACACATTAGTAATAATTAGAAACAATGGTTCGATCGGGATGTGTGAATATTTGCAACTTTTTGATCACCTCAATCAAGATAAATATAGTAATAAAAAGACCATCCATACTATTTTACATTGTAACTTCACTTACAAACTCCATTTACTAATTTGAATTAAAATGCCTCGTTGATATATTGGTATGTATAACTGAGATTCACAGACAAAGACAGCTAATAAGAACCAAGAGGAGGTTAATGGCCG